CCTAACACACACACACACACACACACACACACACACACACACACACACACACACACACACACACACACACACACACACACACACACACACACACACACACACACACACACACACACACACACACACTTGAGAGCTAGAGGTGTATCAAATGTCCCACAGGCACTTTTAATTATATATTTATAATTACTATAAAATTATTTAAATGTCATGTAGAGGTGGGCCATATTGTACATTTCTTGTCCAGAGGAAAAAAAATCTATCATGTTAAGCTAAATTTATGATATAATTGCATCTACTGAAGATCACATGGGTCACGCACCGTGGAGTTATCAGAGCAAACATGGCTGGAATCTGATAGTATTGGCTCATATCAGCGATTATACTGTAATGACTCAGCCTCTCTGGTTGCTCTTTTATGAGTATTATTTTCGGGCTACTGTCGCCGTAACCCACGCCTTACAAACTCTTCACTTTTTCAACAGAATCGCTCATAAGAGAGTATTTACTAGCATAGCAAACCACAGCGGAAAAAAATGGAACCGGAACAACATTTCACACCCATTGAGCTCGCTTTCAAAATAAAACATTAACCCTATAGTTTAATATTCAAACCCTTACAATATGCTATCCGTTAGTGATGGGAATTCCGGCTCTTTTTAGAGAACCGGTTCTTTTGGCTCAGCTCACCAAAAAGAGCCAGCTCTTTCGGCTCCCAAGTGGCTCCTCAGATTTTCTGTTGAGTAGAGTACATTTATAACCAAAATAATGCAAAACTATATGTAAAATTATTTACTAATGTAAAAAAATGCAATATATCAAATATTTATCATTTCTATGGATCTAATAACTGAACATTTCCAGAAATCTCCACTTTCTGACTGCTGACGCTCATTTTCTCACCGTCTCCGTCGCACTCTCCTCTCTCTCTCGCTCGCCTTTTTCCTCCTCCTTATTCCCTCTCATCTCCCTCCACCCGCAAGTGCTCTGCTGTGCGTCTGTCTGATTCTGATCCTCCCTCTTCCCTGCCCCTATTGCTCTGTGTGTGGACAATCTGGACACGCAGTTACACATGTTGACCAATCGCCTGTGGCTTTCACCAAAGCAAGAGGAGAGGGGGGAGGGGGGAGGGGAGGGGACAGCTCCCGTCGTTCACTTCAAAGAGCCGGCTCTCAGAGCCGGTTCGTTCGCGACCGACACATCACCACTATCCGTAGACGTTTCCCATTACACAGGGAAGGAAGGGGGTTGGCTTGTCTCTCCGCACAAGCAGGATGGAAAACAGAACTCCACTGGAGTTGAACGTCCCCAAATAATTAGAAACCAGAACGCCAAATGCAAAGTTTAGAGCAGCACATTTACCCAGAGGCTCTCAGATTGAGCAAACTTGTAAGGATATATGTAATGACCGCTTAGAGACAGAGCAAAATGTCGATAGCATAGCGGCTAACCGCTAGCATAGCAGTTTCACCAGTTATATCTATATAAAGATATAAAGTCATCTTGTATCTGGTTTAAAAATTATATCGATATTACAAAAATATCTATAATTCAAAAATATCAATATATCACCCAGCCCTAAATACAAGTTACACTTTCAGAGAACTTGGGTGTAAACTTTGATGATAAAAAAAGAAACAGACAGCTATCCCATCACATGAAGCAGGTAACAACATCCATCTTTCCCAATTACAGGCCAGTTTTCTAACTTAGTCCAAGTTTTTGTTAGAGAGTCAGTATCAAAGAAAGAGAGAAGATAAAGTCATAACAAATTAGTTTCCCAGGTTAACTAGGAAATCAGCCACTCAAACTAGGCCTGATAAAATTCAACTGTGGAGTCTCTCACAATAAAACACAACAGATGTGGGAGATCACACACCTGCTTTCCCACCATAATCGCATCTTCATCTTCATAGTGAAGGTTTGTAAGTCTGAAGAACCTCCTGCTCAGACCTCAGGAAGTCTATCTGCTGCAATTTTTAGTAAGAGAGCAAATAATTATTTCTTGTTTTACTTCATACATGTAAATAGTTAAATCCCTTAGTTCCATTATACAACACAAATTAAAGTCACTTCCAGGAAGAGTTCATGTTGTTGAGGCTAAAAGCCACTTTCCAAAGAACAGCCACTGAGCTGAGAGAACAAAACCACAAACAGGGAGCATACTGGCCAGCAAACATTAGTAGAGATACTTTTCTTTTTCTTTTTTTCATTAGTAGACCACTTACTAACTCAAAGTAGATATTCTGTCTTGAAGGTCTCTTCATATTTTTTCAGCTTTACTCTGCTGATGATTCAACACTCCTGCAACAGCCTCACCATTGGGGCTCAATCTTACACTTTAACAGCCTTTTTCATATGAATCAGTCAATAAAATCCAACTTTTATTTGTATAGCGCTTTCCATCATCCTCAAGAGGGACCCAAAGCTCTGAACACAGCACAAATACAACATAGAAAACCAGTAAAACTAGGATCAGAAAACAATGAAACATATTTTATGTGCTTCACGTTGGAGCCACTGAACCGAGTTTTCCTGGCTTCAGTTAACTCAGTTAACGTATTTTCCAGACTATAAGCCGCTACTTTTTTCCCACACTTTGAACCATGCAGCTTATAATGAGGTGCAGCTTTACTGAAGATTTTACTTCACCTGCCAGGGGGCGCTTTAGCAGAAAGTGAAACAGGCGGAAGTCAAAAGTGGAAATCGAAGAAAGTGCTCATTTTAATTTAGCACATTCAAGCAGCCGGCAGGACGAAGAATTTGTTTCAAATCCATACATGATCATGGTAACTACACGTATGAGTTCATATGATGCCGCGTTTAAGTTGAAGGCCACCGATCTGGCAGTAAAGGAGGGAAACAGCGCTGCCGCATGTAAGCTTGGCATGAATGAATCCATGGTTCGGCGCTGGAGACGGCAGCGGGAAGAACTCATTCAAGCCGGCTTTACCCGGGGATGATGACAGCAACACGGACAGCGACACTGACATCGCCACAGAAAATGTGACGAAGCTCTTCTGAGGCTGTTCAACTCCGACACTGAAGAAGAGGACTTCAGTGGTTTCAGTGCACAGGAGGACGATGAATAAATAAATCAATAACTTTTCTGTTTCGTTTGATACTGATCAGTTCAGTTACCTTCAGTTAAACTTTGTTTTCAATTCAGGAGATATCTGCGGCTTTTAGCCCGGTGCGGCTTATATAAGTACAGTCCCATGTTTTTTTAAAAACTTAGTAGGTGCGGCTTGTATTGAGGTGCACTCTATAGTCCGGAAATTACGGTAGCTTGCAGCTGGGAGAAATGGCAGACTCAGGTCCTCAGTTTCTCTCTCAGCTCCACCTCTTTGCCCACATTTATATTGTTCGGGAGTGTCAAGATGTGTGACACAGCTAAGATGGCGGTGATCGTAACCGTCCGCTAAGCTTAAAACTAGCGCCCCAGAAACCTATAGATGTCATCACAGAGGGTTTGTCCAGTATTTTAAGAGTCAATGATTCAGTAGCAAGTTACATGCATAAAAATGTATTGATTCAGCTTTTGTCAACCATTAACCTTAGGGACATTTTCTATCAGTCTGAGCTTTAGACAGACTGGTACAGCTGTAGGTGTTTATGGGTTTTACATGTTACTTTACTGTTTTGTTACGGTTTTCATGGGAGCTGAATCTTCAGTCTGTAATAATATCTATCCATTTATTAGGCACGTGTATTGGTGAAATTCTGGCGTTACGATACGTATTGCAATACAGGGGAGATGATACATTCTACCAGACGATATTAGCGATATTTTTAGACTGAATTTATTGTAGGAAAATTCTATAAACAGCACAACCCGATACATAACATGTTTAACATGACGTATCTGAACCATAACAAAGGGATTTACATTTCAGTGGTGGAAACAAAACCCATTGCACACTGCTGCCAACTAGTGGTCAGCGTTTGAATTGCACCAAAAGAAAATAAAATACAAAATGTTTGCATCGATACACAGCTTTTGAATAGCAATATAACATCGTAGGAAAAAACGATCATGATATATTACCATATTGATATTTTCTTACATCCCTACTATCCATCCATCCATCCATCCATCAACATGTAGTTAAAGCTACATGTCTCTAATGTCACACAGGCCATTTCTTGTAATAGATTTATAAGTTATATAAAATCATTAAAGTTCCATCTAGGGGTGGGCTAAATCATGTCATTCACAATATTACCGCTCATTGCTTCCAGCCCAGAAAATAAATCTAGTTTTTAAGTTAACTTTGTGATGTAATTTCATCCACTACAGAAAAGATATGCTTATTAAAGTTATGACAGCAAACATGGCAGGAATTTTAAAGTATTAACTCATCAGTGAGTAGGGGAGTATACATTGTAGTTTCTGAGGTATTTTGACCACTGCAGGCTCCCATATTGTTAACCTGATTGTGCGTGTGTGTGTGTGTGTGTGTGTGTGTGTGGGGGGGGGGGGGGGGGGGGCTCAATCTGTCTCCATACACAAACAGTAAAA